ACACACACACACACACACACACACACACACACACACACACACACACAGAGCTGCCAGCCTCCATCACTAGAGCACTGACACTGAGAAATGCTGATGGTACTTGGCAGAACTCTGATTTTCCACAAAGGAATGAAGAATATGGGGAAATGGTAAATGCACAGAAGAATATCAACTTTTTAATAATTTATAAACTGGCAGGATGGTTCATCAGATGAGTGCCAGGCCTACCTACTGAAGTACCATCTCCAGGACCAACTCCTAACTCCCTCAGGTTGTCCTCTGACCTCCATATGCCAACATGGTACATGTGCCTGTGCACACACACAAACACACACACACACACACACACACACACACACACAAGCAGGCATGAAGCCACAAGCACATACACACGTGTGAAAAGTATGTACATTCTGAACCTTGAGGTAGCTGCTAAAAATGAATCCACACAGATGTTATCAACCTTAGTGGTGAAGGGCCCTCTCTGAGACTAGAAAGAAAGTGAGGATTTCATCTTACAGGTCCTAGTCAGTATCGCACTGGATACTCTCTTCAGCACTGTAGGGCAAAACAAGGAGACAGAGAAAGGTAGGAAAGGATGAAGCTGTCCTGACAGGTGCTATGGCTGATGACACAGAAAACGCTAAACAGTCTACAGAAAGCTACACAGCGTTAGCAGATGGGCCAGCAGTGAAGGGCTGTAAAGTGATGATCCTTCACATAACGAGATAATGGCTAATCCAAAGCACAGGGAAGGGTAACTGCCTCTCCTTGACCACCACATATTAAACATACAAAGCCTGCAGCAAAGATGAAGAGCAACGGGATCTTCTAAATCTAATACTAGAAATTACTGACGGGCAGTACCTGTGCCAAAGTTCTGGGTAAGCTAGTTCACTAATTACATACTCTGCTTCTGAGCATCCCCCTTGTGCGTAAGGATTTTCCGTGTGTGTGTGTGTGTGTGTGTGTGTGTGTGTGTGTGAGTGTTGTGCATACATGCTCACCTCTGTTTGAGGGTACTTGTCAGGAGGTGTGAATGTGTAGACACAAGTGTGTAGAGCCCACTACGTCTACCTCAGCTATTCTCCGCATTATTTACAATTGGGGGGTTCTCACCGAACTTGAAGCTTCCTGACTTAGCTAGTCTGGCTAGCCATTTTGCCCTGGTGGGGGCCTAGTTTATGTCAACTTGACACAAGTTGGAGTCATCTGAGAGGAGGGGACATCAACTGAAAAAAAAAAAAACCTTCATATGATCCTAAGATCAGACTCTAGGAAAGCCTATAGAGCTCTTTCATAATTGGTGACAAATTATGTCACCATTGTGGGTGGTGCTACCCCTGGACTGGTGGTCCTGGGTATTTAAAGAAAGGAGGTAGAGTTAGCCAGTAAGCAGCACCCCTCCATGGCTTCTGCATCAGCTCTTGCCTCCAGGTTCCTGTGCTGCTTGAGTTCCTGCTCTGGCTTCCTCAGTGATGGACTGTGACCCAGAAGTATGAGATAAAATAAACCCTTTCTTCCCACTTGCTTTTGGTCATGGTTTTTATCATAGCAATAGAAACCCCAACTAAAACTTGTTGGAGATGCCATCTCTTTCTCTCCAAGTTTTCAGATTGCAAGCAGACCACTGTACCTGCTTAGCTTTTATGTGGGTTCTGGAGCCCCAACTCCAGTCCTCATGCTTCTTTGGCTCTCCAGTCCCAACATATGATATCTTACCCCTTACAATGATCTCATGCAATTATAATTTCACCACCATAATTGTCTGGAAACACAGACATGTGCAGCTTTGCTCCAAATAGTCAAAACACTGCCATTAAATATATAAACGCTAAGATCTGCTGCAGAATGCTGGGTCAAGATGGTGTGTTTATATCTGAAGTCATGGTGTCAATCAGAACATACTCTACAGGAAGTACCTGAGCTGGGACTGGAACAAAAAACAAAGCCTGACTGGTGGCAGCTGGTATGGTGCCTATCATTACGGACCTAAGACAGAAAGTAAACTGTGCCTTCTACATCCTCTACCTTCTTTACAGAGGAGCTCATCTTCAAAAAACAACAGCGCTAATAAGATCATTAGGAGGAAATAAATCCAGGTATGATGGAACATGCCTGCAATCTCAGCTAACCAGGCAGCTCAGGCAGGAGGATTACCTGACATCCAAAAGTCCAGGACCAGTTTGGGCAACATAGGGAGACACTATCTCAACAGATTTAGGAAGACAGCTCACAGGTGCACTGTGTTCCTAGCATCCAAGAGGCTGTGTGCTATCATCAGCAAATCCAACCCCTCCTCCCTAAAACAGAAGGGAAGAGTAACCTGTTCTATTCAGATCCACAGGCACAAGAAAATGGGATCGCACTAACCAAGAAACCCTGCAAACACTTCTGTTTATTTATGAAGAACTGGGAAAATTTCTAATATTTGCATATACTGACCTATTTTTCACAAAGAATATATATATTTAAAAGACTAGAGCTATAAATATTAATGTAACTCTTGCGAGTAGTCTTTACTAGATTAGTAGAGATGTGGACTGTGAGAGCTTAGAAAACTGGAGGCCCTAACCCTTTTCTGTTCAGCACCTTCACGGATGACTTCAAAACAAAGAACACACAACTATCCAATTTGTAGGCCAGCTGGGGCTGCATAGTGAGACCTTGTCCCAAAAAGCAAAACCTGGGCTAGTGAGATGGCTCAGCAGGTGATGGTGCCTATCCCTGAGCCCAAGACCTGAGTGTGGCCCCAGGAGCCACAACATACACAGAAGAGAACTAAGAGAACTGAGAACTGACCTCCACATCCACAGTGTGGCATGTGTGTCCACATACATACACACAAATAAACAAATAGAAAACAAAACAACAATAATACATGACCCATAAAGCTAATGTAAGACTAAGTGCTGTGACATATGAAGACCTGTAACAATTCTCAATAATGGATAACAGTGGCCTTTCCACTGCTGTTATTTGCCCACTTGGCAAAAAAGGCTATAGAAGAGATTGCAAAATGTCATTATCTGTTACTACAGTAAATTAAAAAAAAAAAAAGAATAAAATAATTCAGGTTGCTATTGTTTACTATTCAATTTTATGTGAAATTAGGATATCATATGAAAATCTGTTATCCCAGATATTTGGTGAGGTGGGAAAGAAATAGGATGACTTAATAATATGTGCGAAAAACATGAGAAGAAGCAACATTTAAGCTTGTGGTTAAGTTTGGGTCACTGGCAAGCATCTCTGAACCACTGGCTTTTACATACAGGAGACAGTCTTTGTCTATACGCACAGCAGGACAGGCAGTGAACTCAGGCAAAACCACTACATTGTGCTTCGGTTTGCAAAATGAACTTTAAAGTGGCTCCAACAACAAACATAGACCGCAGCGAGGAGTGTGGCTACCCTCCCAGGGTGGCTCAGTGTGGACACTTACACGGTCATCAAGTGCCCAGCCTCTGCTCTCAATAAGGCCTTGATCTGTCCCCTAATCAACAGGGTGGGCTACATTTGCAGGCACAGCAGGATGACACAGAGCAATAAAGGAAAGGGGTAGTTTCCTTACACATATATTTTTTAAAGTAGGAAAATATTTCTGAAAGTTCCCAAATTTCTACCAAGCTTTTGATCAAGACTTACTGGTCAGAACAGCTCCCTGATAACCAAACACGGACAGGAGCTGAACCACCACATTCATCAGACCCAGTATCATTCACGCTGCCTCAAGTTGGTAAAGAAGATGGTCACAGGATGAAGAGGGCATTCATTGTGATTACAAAGTAATAAACAAATATGAACAAATACATAAATGCCAAGTGGACCTGCTTCCCTCATTTGGAACTGCCAAGCGCAAGCTGCTGGCCGCCTGTCTAGACCACGTCACCCATTTTGCACAGTCATGTACTGCCTCTCACCATTTTTGGATTATTTCCTATCTTGTTTCCTTAACCGAAGTGCAAACTTCTTAAGAACTGAAAATCTATTTCTACATGTCATTCAATGCTAACAGTCTAAGAAACAGCAAATGCCAAACACCAATAAATACTTACGGAAAGCTAATATTTATTTCCTGTAATAAATAATCTTGTTTCTCATTAAACCTGGCAGATTAAATACAAATATTCATCTCTGATCTTTCCCAAAATCTTATGAAAGAACAATAAAGAATGTTAAGAGGTGAAAATTCACAAGAGCAATGAGAACACAATAGAAGACACCAACAGACAAGAGCTTTTAAGCAAACCTCAGAGGCTGGGATGAATATAGACACAGTGCAATGGATTCAGCAGAGCAGCCTCCAGGGAGAGAAGCCTGGAGGTTTCAGCACCCCACACTCCAGGAAGACTGATGTCCAGAGCTGCTAGCTACAGGTGACCAGTTAGAAAGTGAGGTGGGGGAAAAAGCAGATTGGTGGAAGCTGTAAGTAGTTACCACATGACCTCCCCACATGCTGAAGCAACTGCCCTATGCCATGACCACAGAAGGCAGTCCACGCTGCAGGGGCCAAGTAGGGAAGCCAGGGTCCTGGACTCCAGCACTAATAGGGGCAAAGATGAGACAGCCTGGACCTGGGCCTCTGAGTGGTGGTGAGCCTGTCATCGTCCTTGCTTGCCTTCCTTCTCTTAGGTCAGACGGATGGTCACGAATGTCGAGTGCACCCACCCTTCTTAGTCCCTACTTCATCCCTGCCCCAGTATTACCTCTGATAAAATAACTCTAACAGGTACACGAAAGCTGAAACCCAGATGTTACATCTGTGAACAGGGTTGTGTCAAATAATGTGTTTAAATATGAGGTGATGACATTACAGCATACTGCAAGGAAGAGGCAAAGCTGGGGGATTTGAACAAAGAACAAAGCTTGAATACAGGCAAATGATGGGTGCATGTCATTAGCAGAATTCAGCACCATATTTCCTCTACCTTCCTTACCGAGGAATTCACCTTCAAAATAGAAAAGCGCTAACAGGGTCATTAGGAGGAAAATTAAGCTGGGAATGATGGAGCATGCCTGCAGGTAATGGACAGCTTCCATTACCATGAGATGAGGCGGAGGGAAATCTAAGGCAAACAGACTCCACCTCATCTGATAAGCCACTTGGGGGTTTCTGCCACTTGCATCTTGAACACAAACTAGTTCATATAAACCCTGTATACATCCCACACAGTAAGTTCCTCCTTAGAGCCCAACAATATGAACAAAGAAAAGTGTGTTCCAAGCTGGCTCTTGCAGTTCGTATTTACTGCTATACCTACGACAGTAAGAGAGAAAGCCGAAGGCTTCAAACCTCAGGGTCACACGTTAGCAGCACTTGTGTAACAGTGGGCCTCTGCGGGGCCTTCGGGGCATGGCCCAGGTGTCCACAGCATACTGCTCCCATTGTTTCCACGGCTGCAGACTCACTCTGCTAACAGCCTACCTTCAATTCCCCTCCAGTCTGGCCTTCTTCTTTCAAATTTATATTGGATGACTGATGGCCAGAATAATAAATATTTTATCTTTCTACACCTTTTCCTCAAGAAGAATATGCCTTTTTGAGAGTGAGGCACATAAGACACCTGGAGCCTGAATTTAGGTCTTAACTATTCTGTACAATGAGCACTGCGCTTTTCAAGTGTGTTTCAAGCCATAGCCTAGCCATCAAAATGCACCATTCAAGCTTCTGCACACAAAGAGGTACTTTCGTAAGCAAACTAAAAACCCTGCAGACAGTGAAATGTTCAAGGATATTTAAAAAGGAGCATAGATCAATATGAGTTTACTTTCTTGGCTTTAGATATCATCATCTCTCTGTCCATTATAATTAGCTGATAATGCCTAAAGGTTTCATAATAAACAACAGTGCTAAAAGAAACCTGTTCAGGTAGAGCAGGACCAATGGCACCAACTCCAGGATCATTTTCTTATAGCACCTGGTACAACTCATCCAGTCAGTAATTCACCAGGTCCTGTTCCTGCCACCCTGCTGTGGGATCCTCGCTTTCCCTATAGATAGGACTGAGCACACAAGGAGCTAAGATCAAAGGCCAGTGGCAACAGGCATTTCCATACAAAAATAAGAAAGGCAAAGTAGGACAATAAAGAGGGGAAATGGCTTTAATAGCCCACAGACCTCTCATTTCTACCTCTCATAGAGTCATTTCATCTACCTACTACGTCTTATCATCTTTGTAATGGAGAGATTGATACAGCTCAGAAGTCTGAAATGCACCTTATCAAATCTTTTACAGGCTTTTTAGCGATGTAACAATACAGAAGCAGAACTGTTTAGTTTGGATTGCTCAACTCTAGGTGAAAGATTTGATAAGCTGTGTTTCTCTATCCCATTAAACAAAGAATGGGGACCTTTCACTTTTTTCTATTCTAAGAATAACCAGTTTACAAGCTATAGCTATCACTTATGCCTCATACATAAAGAACAGAGAAAATTAAAGGGTGAAAAAACTACTAATCTTGAATTTTAGAAAAGACCCTTGGAGAAATAGTCATTGCAGTCATCTTAAAAATTAAGTTTTTGTGGTTTGCTTTTTTTTTTTTTCCAGAGCTGAGGACCGAACCCAGGGCCTTGCGCTTGCTAGGCAAGTGCTCTACCACTGAGCTAAATCCCCAACCCAGTTTTTGTGGTTTTTAAAGGCACTTAAATATTAGAAAACTCAGTAGAAAAAAAAAATGTGTTATTTTTAGTGAATACAATTTATATTGAAAGGCTTAATGACCACACCATCCACCCTAACCTAAAATAAAAACACCAGTGAAAAGAAGTGGAGGGGCACACAGCTCAGTGCTGACAGCAGACGATAATCACTGTTCCAGTCAAGGTGAGTTCTCAGCCAATCTGGCTGCTGTAACCACCACAGGCCCACAGCCCTGACTGGCCAGGGTGGAGTCTATGCTGCTCTCTGAGCAGCTCATCTCATCCCCAACCCACCTTGGCAGCACCTCCCCACTTGAGGCCTTTGTCAAAGAGAAGCAGTGAAGAAAGGAAAGTCCCTCACCTCACACAACTATTTCCATCCTTTACATGTGCACCTGAAGAGGATAGACATTACAGATAGGCACAAGTTAAAACACTTGCCATGGGCTGAATGAGATGAAGCCAGGTCCATTAGCCTCAGCTCCCCACCTTCACAATATGGGGCACTATCAAACGGTTCCAATTTAATTACTACCTCAAACCTCCACATGTAAGTTAAACTCTTCAATTAAACTCTTCTCCTATCTCCTGCAACATAATAAATGGAATGTATGAGAGTTAACTTGTACAACGTGACAACCAGATTAAAAGGTGAATGCTACGTATCATCAGGTTGGCGGCATCTTCCGAAGCCTCAGATCCTCTATTTATGTGAAATGCAAATAGCATGTAAGAATCCACCCAGGTGCCTGCTTCTGTAATGGAAATGGAACGCTCACCTTCTCAATGTTTATCTGGTGTTTTCTCAACCTCTCCAGGTCAGTGGGGATCACTATCTTAGTGAATTTCTGGATAGCTGGCTCGAGCCGGCGTAGCTTCACCTTTTCTTCATCTTCAGACATCCTGAGTCCTATTGAACCACTTCCTCTTGCAGCAGATCTCTGCCCTCATACAGGAACACCTAAGAGGGAGCATTGAAGAATACTTTTACAACAGATGCCATTCTTTTTAAAAATAGACAAATACAGGGCTGGAGAGGTAGCAGTTAGCCGCCCTGGCTGCTCTTTCAGAGGCTCTAGGTTCAGTTCCCAGCACCCACATAATGGCTCACAACCATCAGTAGCCCCGGTTCCAGGAGATCTGACACCATTTTCTGTTCCCTCTGGCACTGCACACAGGATGCACAGACATACATACAGGCCAATACTCATACACATAAAATAAAATGAAATAATTTAAAAGTCAACAAATACGTAATTACACTTTACAAATACATATTGATCCCAAACTGAACTTGAATGCCTTTGTTTCTCTATAAAATGATGAATATTAAGATAGTCTCTTCATGAAAGTTGTATCTAGTCACTTTTGAGTACTTTTCAAAGTGATTCATTTTCATAGCACAGGCAGGAGGGGAGCTATGTAACTCTAGGTTGACCTGGAAACCCTGATCCCCCTGTGTCGACCTCCTAAGCTTGCTCGGGAATGTTCAGAAAATATGTATAAATGGAAGCCCACAAGACGGCTCAGTGGGTAAAAGAGCTTACCACCAAGCCTGAAGACCTGAGTTCCATATGGGACCTACATAATAGAAGGAAATTCACACACACACACACACACACACACACACACACACACACACACACTAAATAAAAATGAAATTTAAAAGCTTAAAGAAAATATAAAAATGGACAGAATAAAATAAAACTATTAATGATTTCCTCAACCTGAAATGTGTTGAGGAAACTCTACATTTTGCTGGCTGTTTCCTGGGATCTTTTACAATGTACAGTATGTGTGTAAACACTGTTAAAAATGAGGAGGATATGTTTTGGACATGGAATAGGCATCTTTTTAAAAACTGCCAAATAGCAAAATTCAAAGAAAAAATGATTGTTAATATTTTTGCTATGTTAAATGCTGTTTCTAATATCATAATGTAATTATATACTTGAAGTACACTGCAGAATACAGAACTCCTCTCACTGAAAGTCTTTATCTCTTCCTTTTTTAAACAAAGTAATCAGCAGTGTATACTAAATGACCAGCAATAGAATTCCAATAAGAAGCATATTTACAATGCCAGGCTCAGTGGGTAAAGGGGTTCGCTGCCAAGATACAACCTGAGTTTGATCCCCGGTTCTTACATGGGAGAGCGCTGACTCCCACAAGTTTTTCTCTGACCGCCACATGCACAACAATAGCACATGCATGACACACACAAAAATAATAAATAAATAAACTTTAAAATTGTTTTTAATGACCCAGATTCTCTGCATGTATAAAGATGTTTTTCTGTGTCACCAGGATTCTATAGCTGTACAGAAAGACCCAGCATATGCTTTTGGGGACAGGACAGAAGAGGTAGGAACTGGAAGTGAGCATGATAAAACCCCACACTGGCATCAACCAGAAAAATTTTACTTACATCGATTTTATAAAATTGAGCTTGTAACAGATCTTAGTAAGTATGTGCTCCCCTGCTGAACCAAGCTTAAACACCACTTAAGGATATGATGCCTTGATATCTCTTCCTTAGCCCAGCCAAAGAACAACAATAAATTGAACATACAATCCCATTGGGTTACAGCTTCTTAACCCAGGCCTCACAGAGAAACACCTTCATATATTGACTCTGTGAGATTGTGGCTCTTTAGGAACTCATTGTTTTCAGATTCTGAGAGAAAGAGAAAAAAAAGAGAGAAACATCTGATGCCCTAAATATTAAGAACTACTTTAAATAAGTTGTTTTTCTCCTTTCTTCTACAGTTGAAAATCTTGAATCAATGGCTATTAAAACGACTTCCATTACTCACTGCTAAGAACTTAGTTCTTACGCCTAATACAAGCTTATGGGGAAAATTTCCACACACCAAGAACAGAATTAAAACTGAACCACAGAGCAGACAAGAACTAGAGACATGTGGATAGAAGTACAGGATCAAAAGAAATAGATTCAAACTAAACTAGAAAAATAACAATGGCCCTAGAGATGAGATAAAAAAGAAACATTAAATCTATTCTTAAATATACAAAGACATAAATAAAGAAATAAACTTTTCAAAAGGACATTACGAGTTGGGTACTTTTTTTAATTAAAATAATGTTACAAAAGAGTTAACAGGTCAATTGGAACATAAGGCAAATTAAAAAATCCTAAACTGAAAACCCCAAAAGATAAGATAAACAAGAAACTATGTATAGCTGGAGAGAGGGAGAGGACTACTGAAGTGGAAGCTATCAAAACTTGGAGGATGACAAGATGAAGACAATAAATAAGAAAATAAAGGACATAAATTCACATGCTTAGTAACAAATAGAAAAGAATACAGAAAAGAATGAAAACAAATTATTCAAAGAAAAGGTGCTTGAGAATTAAGTCAAAAGATCTCAAGTTGAAAAAGCACATAAACCCTGCTAGCATAAATAAAAATAAACTCACCTAAGCACATGCTAGGAAACTGAAGAGCATCAAGGACAAAAGAAAAAGCAAACCAGAGATAACAGATAACTGAAAACAACAAAAGCAGCCAACTCTTCATCAAAGCAATATATCAAAAGATAGGAATGTCTTCAAAGTACTAGGGAGCTGGTGCGTACCCAAGCAAATTATCATCTACGGTAAAGTCAAAATAATTATTTTCAGACATGCAAGACTGAGTTTAACAAACTCCTCATTAAAAGAACTACTGAAAGGAGAGAGAGGGATGGAGCCCGGGAGGGAAAGAGAGTGAGAGAGCACGTGTGCATGCGTGCGTGTGTAATGTGTGGTGTATGGTACACCTCAGGATCCCTAGAGCCTGTTAAGGTATTTGGTAGGTACTGTGGTCAATACAAATATTGACTTTACCGTTCTTCCTGTTAGACACAAAATATTGCAAAGGGTTATAAAAAACACTGTAATAAAAAAAGTAAAAGGATGAAATGAACATAATAACCTATTCTGGACTAAATGACTGGATTTACTTTGAATAACATGATCAAGTATACAGAAAACGTTACCATGTAAATATTTTTATTACATACCTACTTTTAGTAGCATAACATTACACTGTATATGTTCTACAATCCAATCATCTATTGTTAGCTATTTAAGTTGATCCCAATTTTCCACTATTATAAACTACATTGTGATTACTTTCCTCATACATATATTCATTCTACCACCCATGATTACTTAAAACAGACAGCTAAAAATAGAAATATTAAGCAGACACATTTTAAGTTTTAAAAATATGCTCACTGCTAAATGTGCCATAAAGTTTCTTCCTACTTACATTCTACTAGAAGCACTTCTTCATGTTCTAACCAATGATTGGTTTGATTAGTGGGGGAAAAATGGTATCCTAACTCTCCTTCTAGCTAGAATTTATTTTTTTTCTATCATTTTCTAGTTTTACAAAGTTATATGTAACTATATATCTGAAAGCATAACGTTCAAATGATTGCAGGCACAATGCTATAATAACAGAATATTGTCTAGCACGGCATCAAATCATAAAATAGCTCACATTTGTCATCTGTTATAGGATGATCCCAGTTCAATGTCAAAACGTGGTATAGAAGTGTGTTTGAATACCTACTGAAAAGTACATTCCAACATTTTTTTATTTTTAGTCATAAAGTTGAAACATGTTATACGATTAAAACACTAGGTTTAAAAAGATAAAGAACTCACACCTATAAAAATGTCCAGAAATATACAAAACACCCAAGTTCTAAACTTCTGTGAAGTTGTTATATTATTTTAATTATTTAAAAAGCATAAAATATTTGTGATAGAATGTATTGTCATAGTGTGGTGATAGACAGCTATTTGTACTTGTCAAAACCCATGAAACTGTACAAGTCAAAGAGTAAATGCTACTTCATGCAAATTTTAAAACACCAAGATACAGAGGAAATCTAAAATAAAAAAATAAACTATCAAAAATAAGATTGCATTATCATGGAACTAAGTGGTCCACTAACAACAACGAAATCAGCTGAGGTCAGAGAGGGGGTTGGCACATGCCTTTAGCACTCAGGAGGTAGTCAGGAGGATTTCTGTGAGGTCAAGGCCAGCCTGGTCTACAGAGTGAGTTCCAGGACAGCCAGGGCTGGAAAAACAAAACAAAACAAAACAAAAAGCAACCAAAGCACAGAACATGGTAGTTCTGCTGAACCTTGTAAGGCTAAAGGTAAAAACATTGTACTGTGTGTTTCTCTTGGCAGTGTATATTTTAGACATTCTGGAATTATTTTCTGTATATACCAGGACAGAACAAATAAGGAAACATTTCCCAGAAAATGAGTCAGTGCTCACTGTTAAAGAACAAGCAGGAACCAATACCAGGATGAACCTGGTGGTGTGAAAAGACAGTCAGAGATACCGGTCTCCACTTCTGTTTTTCAACCATGTACAGACAGATACAGAAATCAATCTTGGGTGTATAGATGCAGGTACTGCTGTCTTTTGTGAGGTTCTGAAGGTAACGGCACCCTCGTAGCACAGTGAGACCACAGGTATAGGTATCTAATACCATTCTGAACGACAGAGAGGAGGGCAGCAAGTAACAAGTGACAGAAGGAAACGAGGAGCCTTTTGAGAAGTAGTTGAGGCCAGGACAGGAGCAGGCAAAACACAGGAATACAGAACATAAGGACAACAACGCAAAACTTTCCCATGGTCAAAGTGAGAGCAAGGTGATGTGTAAAGTACATAGTAACAGTAAAATAATGCGGTTTGGATTGGTTTTTGGTTTTTCCAAGACAGGGTTCCTTCCTCTTTGTAGCCCTGGTTAGCCTGGGGCTACAAACCAGGGGCTATAAACCAGGTTGGCCTTGAACTTGGATATCTGCCTGCCTCTGCCTCTCAAGTGCTGGGATTAAAGGCAAGGGCCACCAATGCCTGGCAATCACAGTTTATACTGATACAAATAATTGAATACAGACAAAGAAATGGGAAGAATGGACAGCTCCTCCGTAGAGAAGAATTCCGATAAAAGAAGAAAGGAAATAGAAGGTTGCCACAGTGTCAAAGTATCAGTACTTGGAGAATTGTTGGCGTAATAATTGCTGTGGAGAATCCCCCCAATACCAAGTTTAACTAAGTAATACGGCTGACCCCACAAGCATGAAGTCTGAAAAGGTGCTTATACCGTGTGGTATTCTTAACAAAAGTGCCAAACCATCTAATCACAACAAACTGCGGACAAAATCCTACTTGAAAGGCACTACCAACATTCTTGACTCTTGGAAAGCATAAAAGTCACAAGAGTGTCCCAGAGACTGGAAAGGGTGATGGCACCATGTGGATAAAGGGAGGTGGGGTTAGACCCCACTGTAGAGGAGAGACGCCAGTTAACCTAACATCAATGTTTTCAATGACTGTGATGTATGGTATGTAAAATGCTATAAAACAAGTGAGCGCTCTCTCCATCTCTCTCTCTGGTTTTTCGAGGCAGGGTTTCTCTGTATAGAGCTGGCTGGCCTTGAACTCAGAGATTTGCCTGCCTCTGCCTCCCTAAATGCTGGGATTAAAGTCACCGCCCAGCTACTTGTGCAATTTTTCAATAATCGTAAATTACTCCGGAGTTTGTGTTTGGTCTTCGTATTTGTGCATGAATAAGAATTGCTGTTTTATGGACGAAAGAACGTTTAGAAGCCAGGACTGCAATCATTTTCCAGACACATTCATTTTGCCGTGAAAGGTGCTAAGTGCTTCACAAACTTGATCTCTTGGTACTTGCAACTAAGATGAGATGAGTACCACGAAACTCGGTGCCCGAAGAAGTACCCAAAGGTAAAGTAAATTACTCAAGAGTTATTTATAAGCGAAAGAGCCCCTTTCCTAGAAAATGTCCCAAACAGCTGACACCATCATCACTCAAAGAAATGCACCCTCTGGGGCATGTGGGCTGAGGACGGGGTTTGAGGGCAGGCTCGGGCACCACAACTGCGGCCTCTCCGCGTCCTGCTGGGGCACCGGCGTCGCGTCGTCCCTGTCAGGGTCACCAGGGGTCACCAGGGCACTCGCGGGCCACACCGACGGACCCCAGCGGTGCGGCTAGGCGGCCAGGGCCTGAGTATCTCCCCCCTCCCCCAGCGACCACGACGCCGCGGGACCTCAGCCTCCCCGCGCCCGCTGGGACAACTCCAAAACTGAAACCAGGGAGGCTTGGCCACTTCTGGACGCGGCCCCGGCGCTCGCACCGACCCGAAGCTGGACTTGCTGCCCGGCGCCTCTACCGTGCGTCCACAGCCTGGCCCGCCGCACCACATCGCAGCCCAGCCCCCGAGGCGGCGGCCAGTGAGCCCCTTACCTCCCGCCTAGGCGCTCGAGGCCGTCGACACACACTGCGCAGGCGCGGGCGGGGCGGGGCGTATCTAGGGGGTGGGGCGTCTCCAAGGGGCGGGGTCGATGGCCCCGCCCCCATCGTCCCAGTGGGCGGGCAGGTAGGATGTAATGTAGGTCGTCTTGTGTACTGTGTCCGAAACAAGTTGCATTTGGATAACCATCTGCTTGTTACAGTTTTCCTGCAGTTTCTTGTGTTCCTTGAATTTTGTTGACGAGAACGACCACGAGTCTCTAGCTCTTTAGGTGTGTGGAAACTGAAGCTCAGAAAGGTGTGCCATTCTCCCCCACCACGCCTTCTAAAGCCCCTGAGCGGCAGCCTAGGGGGCGTCTTAATGGCCACAGGCACAAATGCAAGCAGAGACGAACTATGATTTTTCCAGAGTCTGCTGCAGTGGTGTCTGTCCTTACTAAAATGATAGTTGGGCCCTTTGAGGCTCAGCACAAGAATCGAAGTGCCTCACTCCAGTTGAGCCCGTTTGTGACAGAGCTGTACTCCCGGCTGGTTTTCCTAATGTCCTTCTCAAGACATTCCAGTTGGACCAGCTGCTGCAAGAGCAAGCTTTGAAGTGTGGGCAGGTCGTTGGTCCTCCTCTCTGAATAGCCTGACCTCGAGACCTAGCCAAGTAAAATATTCATATACATATGAATATTCAGGTCATGAATGGATCCTCTGATGGTCTAGTTTTCAACAGTCTTCAGGATGTTCGCGTCAACTCTAAGGAAAATCAGTTCTCAAGATCTGCAGGTGGAACGGAAGCAGAAGTGGAAAACTTTGGTCGGCAGATTAAGGGCCAAAGAAAGTCTTGAAAGGCAATTTCTAAAATAAAGTACACTATTTATTAAGCAATTTGAATTGTCTTTGGGGTATGCTGGTGTTTATGTACCCTCGGTTCACAGAACGTATCAAATTTTCGTCGACAGGAGCAAAATATAGGTATTAGGCAATACCATAGGATTTTTTTTTCCCCACGCCGGGGAAAGTCAGTTAAACAAGAGAAATAGGGAGAGGATTAATTGGGAAAATGCCTGCTGCCCCAGATTGAAGACCTGAGTTCGGACACCCACAAATAAAGCCAAGCTCTGTGGCATATTTGGTAGTGGTAACACTGCCTAGACAGACAAAAGGATACAGGAGCTAGCCGACCAGCTGGTCTTCCTAAACTGGTGAGCTCTAGGCACGCACACACACACACACACACACACACACACACACACACACACACCCCAAGACTCAGTTAAACAAGACCTTTTGAATTGAGGATAATTGGTGTTAACATCCAAAAAGGAGGCCTGGCATGCGATAGATAGGGAACTCTGGCACTCCAGGACTGACTTTGGACTTCTAGGTGGTTATATGATGTTTGCTGTAACTTAGGTGTGCCACATAGAAAGAGAAAGCTATGTAATGTAACAGTTGGGCTAGCTAGACTTACAGTCGTTCAATGTTTAGATTTAAGGAGTGTAACCGATTTCTGTGCTCTTGCCTTAAGCCATGCAGGTATTAGGGTTTGGTCTGCTGCTTCGAGATATCCAGGAGGTCCAGGCAAAACAAAACAGTAAGTAGTATACATTTTGGAAAGAAACCAAAGCAAAATTCCACCAGGAAACTCCCACAACACTTTTATCAAAGTAACTGGATACAAAATCAAGTCACAATAATCAGTAGCCTTCCTATATACAAATGACAAATGAACTAAAAAAGAAATCAGGGAAACAACACCTTTCACAATGGCTCCAAATTATATCAAATGTCTTGAGGTAACTCTAGCCAAGAAAGTTAAAGACTTGTATGATGAAAACCTCAAGTCATTGAAGAAAGATGGAAAGATCGCCAATGCTCATAGATTGGTAGGATTAACATAGAAAAAATGGCCATCCTATCAAAAGCAATATACAGATTCAATGCAATTCCCCTCAAAATTCCAACACAATATTCATAGATCTTGAAAGGATAATTCTCAGTTTTTATATGGAAACAAACAAACAAAAAACTGGATAGCTAAAACAATCCTGAATGGAAGAAAAACTGTGAGGGTTCACCATCCCCAATTTCAATTTGTACTACAGAGCTATAATAATAAAACCAGCACGGTATTGGTGCAAAAACAGAGAAGTTGATCAATGGAATTGAATTGAATTGAACTGACACAAACACAAATCAATGTACCTATGGATACTTGATATTTGATAAAGAAACCAAGAACACACACTGGAAAAAACGAAAGAAAGAAGACAGCATCTTCAACAAATGATGCTGGTCAAACTGGATGTGTGCACAAGAAAGAATCTAAATAGATCCATACCTAACACCCTGCACAAAACTCAACTCCAAATAGACCAAACATCTCAACGTAAGGACAGATACACTGAATCTGACAGAATACAAAGTGGGGAAGAGTCTTAAGCTCATTGGCACAGGAAAGATATTCTGAACAGAATATATTAGCACAGCATAAGATCAATAATTGATAAATGGGACATCATGAAACTGAGAAGCTACAGAAATGGCAGCAGCCTACAGAAAGAGAAAATAATTTTTATTAACTACGCATCCAACAAGGGGATAATATAGATCCATAATATATAAAAAACTGAAAAATATTAAATCTTAAAAAAAAAAAACCTAATTTAAAAACGGGGTACAAATCTAAACAGAAAATGTTAACCAAGTTACAAATTATAGAATTGCAGAGGTTAGTTTTAAAGTAAGGGACTAGAGAGTACAGATAGATGTTTTTAGGAAAGAGAAATAGAATTAATAATTATGGATGGTTAAGGGGGTTGTAATGGGAGGATCAAGTCAGGAGGGGAAGGAAAGATGGGGATGAGGCAAGAAAGATGGGAAGAGACAGCTAAAATTAAGGACCATTTGAGGAGTAGTATGAAAACCTAATAGAGCAGAAACTTCCTAAATCATATACATATACATATATGATGCCAATCTAAATGAAATCTCCAAATAACAGAGTCCCAACTGGCCATCTCTTGTCACCAAATGATGCTTCCAGTACTGCTGGAAGTACATCTGAATTGTTGGCCAAAGGGGCCAAAGAGGATGGAGGTCACCAAGAAAACAAGACTCTAAATCAACTGAGCAAAGTTTGTATGAGCTCATAGACTTAATTTGTACAGTCGCTTCTAGAAAGGACTGTTCCACAGATAACTTCCCCTCCTCCAGTCTTTGCTACAACATCGAAGGAAAAGCTATGATGTAGAAGTATCTATTGGGGCTGGGCTCCCAAGCTCTATTGATCTCTGTGTTGGGTCTAGTTGTGGTTTTCTCTAATAGTCTCCATTTGCTACAAAGAAAAGATAAACTTTGATGAGGATGGTAGCTACACGTACAGGATAAGAGTTAGAATCGTGCTGATCTAGCTACGTGGGTAGGAGCAGAGTCTCTTCTAAGCTACATGATCTCACCGGCCCCAGCTAGGTGTCTAGGTCTCTAGTACCAGGAATGGTTTCCCTTCTCCTGCCTGAAGTCCAATCAAGCAGCTACTGGTTACCACCAGCCTACGAAAGCCACCCCCCGCACCTTTCTGGATAGCTTGCCATGCTGGCTGTTGTGGTTCAGAGTGTCACAGCTGAGAAGTTACTTGGACCACCCCAACTGACCCTTATAAAGAAGTTTTTCTCATGCCTGGTACTGGGGAGTTTTGTTACTCTATGTTTTCTGTGGGGAGCATGGTCAGCCATAGTGGCATAACTGTGTGTGTGTGTGTGTGTGTGTGTGTTGTTGTTGTGGTGATGGTGGTGGTGGTGTATAATTTTAGGTAAATAAAAACTAATAAGATTCTTCAGCTGGGCTCAGTTGCACACGCCTGTAATCCCAGCACTCTGGGAGGCAGAAGCAGGAAGATGTCTGTGAGTTTGAGGCCAGCCTGGTCTACAAAGTGAGTCCAGAATAGCCAAGGCTACACAGAGAAACCCTGCCTCAAAAAAAATTTTTTTTCCTTAAGACTTTATTAAACAACCTTGGTGTTATTTGTGTCTCTTTCCTATTGACTCCTCTCCTCTTCCCCAGTTGGGGCACTCCTCCCCATCTTTCCACTTCCAGCTTCATATCACTTGTACCCTGATACTCCTGTCTACAACCCCTCTTCATTCCTTTACACTTCCTAGTTTCTGTGGCGGTAATTGTATGCTATGTACTCATATTTAAAGATCTGAAGCTGGAAACCACAAATGAGGGAGTGCACGTGGCATTTGTCTTTTTGGGTCTGCGTTGCCTCATTCTATGTAATCGGTCTTAGTGACTTTTCTTCTGCTGGAACAAAACACCATGACCAAGGCAACTTATTAAAAAAAAAAAAAAGCATCTAAGTAGAGGCTTGCTTACACAATCAAAGGGTAAGTCCAGGTAGTGGTTTAAATAAGAATGGCCCCCATAGGCTCGTAGATTTGAATGCTTAGTCATCAGGGAGTGGCACTATTTGAAAGGATTAGGAGACATGGCTGGTGGTTCCTGCTGCCTAGGGATCCCGATGTAGAACTCTCAGCTGCCTTGTCTGCTTGTGTGCCTCCACGCTCCACACCGTGAGGATACTTTTGTGCTTCTTTTTTAAACTCTATTTTATTGGGATTCTTTAAAGCCTCTCCCTCCTAACCGCACAAATCTAGGTAGGAGAGAGACGGTTAATGAGGAGCAGGGCACAGACCCTTTTACTTCTCCCGGCTGTTTAAGGTTGGTGGGTTCTTTTGGGGCTCTATACCAATTTTCGGTCAACAGCAAAAACAGCAAGCAATCTCCTCTGAGCTGCTGCGTTGAAACGTTTCTCTCCATCTGTCTCCAAGCCACCACACCATCTGTCTCTGGTGTCTCCAAACTGCCACTCACCACACGCCACACTTTCTCTTTCTGGGCCTCTCATAGGTATACCTAGACCACGCCCCTCTGTGCATCAGGAGGGAGGCTGTTTCCAGTTGGCAAAGACCACACCCCACTA